GTGACAGCTGTAAAAGGGCTGTCCAGAATATCATCTATGCACATAAATACAAATTATTAAAGTACTTTCATTTTAATACAAACGTACCTTTAATTTTTGAGTGATTTGAGCTGCTATCCCTGGAAAGAGTGCCTTTGGAGCCTAAAAATTGATACGTTGCTAAATTTACATCTCACTTCCTTACAATTCGTACTTACCCGGAACTGTGGCGATATTTGATGTGCCATGAACATATTCGAGCGATGGTCCATGAATATCGCACAGTTTGACTATGGGTCGCACCAAGCGTCTTTTGCCAGGAAGCTATTCTCTATGGAAGCAACACCGTGGAAACCTTCGAAATATAGGTAGTATGTAGAACGAATAATGTATGTAGTAATCTTGAAAACAAGACATACGAGTCTTCTAGGAAATGAACACCTGAAAATATTGTTATAATTTCAATACGAAAAATGTACGGATCATGCACCATGTTGGCGTCCTCCAGAAATCAATATTTAAATAATTCTAGTAATGCGAAAGCTTACCGTTTAGAACAAATATCATCGCACTGTTAGGCACACAACAAGGTCTAAAACTCATGTTTTAATAAATTATTGGTCGCGGAAAGCAAAAAACTTCTGCAAGAAACAACGCTTTTCTCTGATAACGAAAATGACGCCTCGCGAAAAATGCAAATCAGCATCCACGCTGTAAACGTCGCCGTGGCGCCCCCTCGGGAATCTTCCGTTCATTTATGAGTAAGTTGACTCGTAAGCAAGGCCTAGGTGGCGCTAACGACAAGCAAAATCTTGGTCTAACCTTGACTATTTGAGTGAGACCCCCATGCATGGGGGCTCACTCATATTGCCATGCGCGTACCCATGTTTTTGGGAGCGCAGCCCCGCCATCTGTGACTAGTTGGTCCAAGATAAATTGAATGATGAGACAATTTTACAGTTTCCACTTAAGGGCATAAAAGAGACAATCTGATCTTAAGGGCATAGATGATATGACATGACAGCGCATTTATAAAACGTGGGGATTTGCTATTTTTAGGTTACAAGGCGTTTAATCCATAGATCATTGACATCTGTGAATATTATTAAAAATGAGCTCTAATATTAAACGGTGCTGTGTGCCTCAGTGGGATGATACATCTTCAAGGCGGTAAGTTTCATCGTTACTACAATTATATACTTGTGGATTGTTGGACGAAACCCACATGGTGCTGGTTTCGTACAT